GAGGGAAGGGGGGATGACCCGCCAGGGTCGGAGAAGCTTTGGGCAAGGACAGCCTTGCCAGAAAACGGCTGGGACCAACCTTGCATCCCGTGGGAAACATGACTTTCGCACGCCGCACTCGCATCACGCAGTGTGGCAACCAGCGAAGATGCGAGAGGGAGGCGCCAACCTCCAAGAAACAGACAGTGACGCGCGCCACGATGGAAAGTACTCTCAAGGGGACTGGAAATCTCAAGGAGTCTATCTACACGGAGGCGTCCATGCACCAGTGCTCATGCCAGAGTAACAGTGGGACAAGGGCAGACGCAAGCAAAATCAATGACGACGGCACCACCCACTGCACACATGTTCCAACGTCAGCGAGCAACCAGAGGAATATTCCGACGGCAGAACATGAACTGAGACTATAAGTGTGCCTGCCCGCATGAATCTGACCATGGCGTTCATGACCCAGGAGGACAACTTCCTGCGAAGAATCCCCAACCATGCCTGGATTTGTGAACTCAAAGTGCTCCCCTTCCCGGTGTGCCGTGCTTCTGGCACGCAGAAATCACGTTGGCAGTTCCAACTACGTTCACGGCGTGGTATAGCTCCTGGTTGGATGGGGGGGCAAGAGGTATGGAAGGAACTGCGGTGATGGCAACATAATGGTAAAGTCACAATTCAACCAGCATATTGCGGAGATGGGCTTTGACACAGTATTACATCCCGACTGGAGGGACTTCTGGAATGCGCTGGGCAAGCAGATGCTGGCGAGAAGAGCAGTATGGATAATGTCCAGAAGCGCCTGAGGGTGGTATGGTCCCACGGCTGCCCCGTTGTGCCACACGCAGTCTGCACCCTTGATGGCCGCCTGTGCTTGGTGGGAACGAGAAGAAGTGCTGCATATGTTGGTTCTGTACTGTCCTGCTGGCATGTTCCAAACCTCGCTCACGTGTTGCTCTTGCTCCGTTCTGCCATTTGTCCCCACGCTGCATCGTGAAGGAGGGGGTGTGGAAGAAAGTGCTGGTAGGTGGAGCACGGTCGCATGAAGAGGAACACGCGGACGAGACGAAAGAGAAACAGGGCCTCCACAGCGGCCAGGTCGCGCAAGTCGCCAGTGACGTACTTGATGGCGGGGTGCTTCCATACGTTCTCGGATGCCCGAACCACGTCAAAAGAGACGACTTTCTGGGCGCCTCTTGCTCTCTCTCTCTCTCTCTCTCGTTCTGTCTCCCTCGCTCTCTCCACGTTTTCTGTCGTTCTGTCTCTCTCTCTCTCTCTCCCTCTCTCCCTCTCTTGTAGCTTGGCTTACCTCGCTCGCTCTCTCTCTCTCTCTCGCGCGATGTATGGCATATATATATATATAAACACATGTGTATCTCTCACTCTCTCTCTCTCTCGGTCTCTCTTCCCCCTCAGCTGTGTTTTCTCTCGTGTCCCCGATGTTTACATGTACATGCTTGTATACTATAACACTATAGTTCGACGGTTGTATACAACTGTTGTACATAGTGATTTGTTATGCATGCGTGTGCTATCTACCATTTATCTCTATGTATCACTCTCTCCTCCTCTCTCGCTTGCGTTCCCTGTCTCTCTCTCTCTCTCTCCCTATCTCCTCCTCTCTCACTCTCTCCTTCTCACTCCCTTTCTCTCTGTCGCTTTCTTTTTTGCTCTCTCTCTCTCTATCCCTCTCCCTCTCCCTGCCCCTCTCCCTCTCGCTCTCTCTCTCTTTCTCTCTCTCGCTCTCTCAGTATCTCTCTCTCTCTCTCTTTCTGTCTCTCTCTCTCTGCCCCTCTCTCTTTCTCTCTCGCTCTCTCCCTCTGTACAAATACAACGTACATATGCACAGCTACTTGGGTGCATAAGTATACACACATCACACCAGCCCTCTGGGCCGAGGTGGCTTAGAGCGTTTCCTTTTCAACGCCCGAAGGCCGATGAAGCGAATGTCCCCAACAAGTTGAAAGGACTGGGGAGTCATCCACAGTTGTGGCGGTCTGGGGCCCTCTTGGCTCAGGGCCAGGGGTCAGGGAGTCTTCTGTTGGGCCGCCTTGGCCACCTGAGGTGGCCCAATCTGCGGCCGCTGGGCTTCCCGCGAGGCTTCTTGGGTCGGGGATTTCCTGACCCAGGTCAATCCAGACCCGGGTCAGTCAGGCGTGCAATATCCTGCAAACTCCTGCAAGATCCTGCACCCAAACCCGGGTCAATGCGAAGGATCCTGCAGGATCCTGCAAGATCCTGCACCCAAACCCGGGTCAATGCGACCCTGGCCCTGCAGGATCCTGCAAGATCGGGCGCTCCGGCTGACCCCCGTTTGCATTGACCCCCGTCTCGAGGCTCCCGATTGGGCGCCCTCTGGACCGCTCCGGGCGTGCACACCCAGGGCCGACCTCCCCCCCCGCACGGGGGCCCCGAGAGCGCACACCCGCCCCAGCATGGGGCGCTGGACCGGCGACGCCCCACCAATCTGGAAGCGCACGGGCCCCGTGGAGCACCCCTGACTACCTACCAGACCACCCCAACCCAACCCGAAGACCCGAATTTCGGGTTGGGGGGGTAAGGGTTCTACATGTGTTTTTTCGATGTTTCCCGACCCCCCCCACTGGAAATCGAGGGTAAATTTGAGCCTTCGGGTTGGGTTGGGGTGGTTTGGTGGGTGGTGAACCCCTGGTCCACCCCCCCGGACCCCCTGGGACGTGCAGGGTGCAGATGCCTGCGGCACATCGCGACGAGCACGGGGCTCTGGAGACAAACACCCACCCCACCCGCAAGAACCAAAGCGAGCGTTCCACTCGGAAGGTCCCGCCAGTCTGGGCGCGAACGGGCCGGGCCCGCGGGACCCCCTTCGTCAGCCCCCCTTGGGATGCTCAAGCATGATCCCTGCTGCATCGCAGAGATCACGGGTCCCTGACAGCATAGACACACGCGTCCCCCCAAAACCGCGAGATGTCCCCACCGATCTGGGCGCGGACGGGCCCATGGAACACTCCTGGTCGACCGCCCTCTTGGGTGGCCAGCATGCGATCCGAGCGCGAGTGAGGGTGAATCGGGATGGATGCCATGAATGAGCACACGTCGTTCACTTCTAATTGTGCTCATTTCTAATTGCGCTCGTTTCTAATTGTTCCTGACCTCCTAGTGGCCAGGAAGAGGCCCAGGATAGAACAATCAGAAACAAAAGGATCTTGGCCACCCAACAAGAATGAAAGAACTTCCGAATAATTGATAATGAACCATGTGTATAGCTGGGAGGCGGCCTGCCGTAAATAGTAGTATGCGTGAGTCCGAGAATCAGTGAGGCTCAGTGCGCGTATGCGTACGACTGCACACACACATGCGAGTGAGCTCGGCTATGAGCGAATCTGAATATGAGTGGGTCTGGGCCCGAGTTGACTATGTCGGAATATGACTCCGAGCACGTACAAGATTCGGCCTGACCTAAGGAACGATAAATACGGAACAAAGCCCCTTTTTTCCGAGGAGCACCAGGGAGGCTCGCCGCCAAAAAAGCAGCGGAACGCATGCAGACCAAAGGAACGACCGAGCCCCTGTTGAAAAGTAAGCGTTCCTTATTCAAGCCGGATCCTGTATGAGTACGACCGAGACCAGGTACGCAATGGGGCGGTAGGGACGGAGGGAGCCGGGTGAAGGAAGGAGTGGAGGAGGCGGAGGCGTCACACTTATCCGCCACCTTGCCTTGTGCACGTTGAGACGTAGAAGAATGCTAAGGTCTGAAGAAGGAAAGCCCTCCCTCCCCGACCAGCATTCTCTGCATTTACACCTCCTCCCCCCTCCCCCTCTCGAGGCCACGATCCCCAATAGAAAAACGATGGGTCCGCGTTCCTGAGGCCATGATCACCTGAACCAAACTAGGTGTTCGCGTCCCGAGCTTCCAAGACGGTCCAGGCAGGCAGCCGAAGGGCACCACGATGGTCCAAGATGCCTCGAAGACTGTCCAAGATGGCCCCGAGGACGTCCCGTATCGCTTCAAGACAGCCCAATGTGCCTACGAGAGGACCTAAATGGGCCACAACCGGATCGCGTACTCTAGGGTCACCCGTACTCTGAGGTCACCAGCGTGAATGAATACATTGTGGCGCAATGCTGTTCCTGATTGCTTGTACGTGCGCGCGCGTACGCGCGCGTGCACGCGCTATCGCGTGCGCAATGAAAAAAAACCTACCCACATCAAGTTCGAACATTGAGTGGTACCAGTTGTACCACATGTATTCTGAGGGCCTCAATATCAAAAATGCATAATGACGCAATACGTGATCCTCACTGCGCGTGCGAGCAATGCGGAACAGTATTTTGCCACCGTGCATTCATTATTCCACGTTGAGACCCTGAGAAAACGTATGAAGCAATATGGCTGTCACCACTCAATTGTAAAGTACTTTTACGCGCGCAAGCGCGCACGTACGCGCGGCAGAAGCAATACAGGAAGTGCCTAGCGTCGTGACACATGATTTCTCGTTGAGGCCCTGACAAGACTAAAAAAGACCCGCCCTTCATCCGTGAAACGTTTGCAAACATTTGAATAAAAAACTTTGCGCGGCGCTCATGCCAAAAACGCATGTCGAAAACGATTCGCCCTCCATCCGTGAAACGGTTGCAAACTTTGCAGGGAAATGCGCGCGGCGCTGAAGCGAGAGCCAACTCTTGCAAAAACTCCGCCCTCCAAACGTGAAGCCCTGGCAAGCTCCAAAAACGGATGTGTGCGGCACAAATGCGAGAACAACATTTTGAAAAGGACCCGCATTACATCCGCAAAACTCTTGCAAACGTTTCAAACGAATGTGCCCGAGGCTGGAGCGATAGCAACATTCTGACAAGGATCCGGCACCCATCCATGAAACTGCTGCAAGCGCTTGAAAATAATTTGCGCGGCGCAAATGCGAGAACCACACTTTGAGGAGGACCCGCCCTCCATCCGTGAAACTGTTGCGGATGCTTAAAAAGTGCGCGGCGCTGAGGCGATAGCCACACTCTGAAGAGGACCCACCCACCATCAATGAAACTCGTGCGAACTTTAAAAAATGTGCGCGCACATTGTGAAACGGAACCACCCTCAATCTGTGAAGCTGCTGCAACATTTTGAAAACGAATGCGCGCGGCGCTGAGGCGAGAGCCACATTCTAGAATTCAAGAGCTGGGGGTATCACTTCCAGGGGTAGAAATGGTAAGTGTTCGCCGGAAGGGGGGGAGTCGATACTGGCTTTCCTAACCCACCAGCCTCACCACCACCACAACCATTATCATTATCATCATCATAATCATCATCATCATCATCATCACCATCATCATCACAACAGCATCATCATATTATCATCATCATAATAAGCAGCATCATCATCAGTCGCAACATTATCATCATCAGCAGTATCACCGTCAGCATCAGCATACTCTTCCTTATCGTCCTTATCATCACCATCATCCTCAGCATCATCAGCAGCATGATCGTCATCATTACTGATCATCATAAGCATCATCAGCATCGTCGTCATCGTAGTCGTCATCGTCATCATCATAACCATCATCAGCATCATCAGCATCGTCGTCAGTATCACCATCATCACCAGCATCCTCATACAAACCATCATCATCACCATCATTATCAGCATCTTCATCGTCATCATCATCGCCATAGTCATCGTCGTCATCATCAGCATCATCACCACCATCAACATACCCATCATCCTCCTCCTCATCACCACCATCATCATCCTCGACATTACCTTCGACATCACCGGCATCGTCACCAGCATCATCATCATCATCATCAACAACATCATAACCATAATCGGCATCAACATCATCAACAGCATCAGCATCATCATCGTCACCCTCATCATCATAAACATAAGCAACATCAGCATCATCACCATCACCATCAACATCACGGCTCTCCAAACCCTGGAGACTCGAGATGTCACACGGGACTGCCTCCCACGCTCCCTCGCACAGCCGCCACCCAGAATGCGTGGCTAGCACGGTGGCGGGATATGCCGCAGCAGGCAGCTGGACTCGCCGCCCCCTGCAGCTTGCCACAGGGATGCACGAGCTGCGAACCGCGACCTGCTTGGAACGCCGCGAGGGCGCTGCAGCGCGGGGCCGAAGCACCCCGAAGACGACTACACAGCA